CTCCCCCCCCCCCCCCCCTCGCCCCTTACCGAATTTGCGGGGCCATGGACTCCAAAAAACTTAGGCCAGTTGTTATGGAGAAATTTTCCGATTTGGAATCCCGATATTACGCCTTTTACATCCAAACCCCCATGAGGCCGCAGGAGTTCTGCATACTTCGTTGGAAATGCTCACAAAAGCGCTTTCGCACTCAGTACTCGCCTCACAGAGACCCGTTTGCATTCAAACCTTCGAGGCCGCGTAGAGCATTGCTGTGAGCCTCTTCTAGCCAAGTTTGGGGAGCTGCGGTGGAGTGTGTGTTCACCATGCTTGGGTAAAATAGGAATTCCAATTTGGAAATGCTGGACGATCCGGGTGGGAATTCCTCATGAATTGCCAACTGGAATTGGTTGGAATTCCAAATTGGGAATCGTGAATTTGCTTTCATATCATTGCATACTGCACTCTAGCTGCCCAAACTTGGCTCCGAGAAGCTCACAGTAGTGGAGTGTACAGCCTTATCGGTTAGATGGCAAACAGGGGTCTGTGGTCTGTGAGGCGAGGGCGAACTGACAAAGCGCTTTGGTGCTCTCTGCTTGCTGCCCAGTACGCAGACCTCCTACTTTTAGGGGGTGGTGGAGCATTGTCTGCCGATCCCCCGGATTCCAAATCGGAAAATTTCTCCATAGCAACTCGCGTTACCATATGCTTTCACTTTCACAAGTACCCCTTCCCCCCCCCGCCCCCCCTTACTCACGACCGCAATTGCAGGACCTGGTCCCGAGCTTTGTGTCGATCTTGAAGCAGATCACGGAACACCGGCTACCGCGCGACTTCGACTACCACAGGATGCCCGCGCCGTGGATCCAGATGCGGCTCTTGAGGATCCTGGCGTTGCTGGGCAGAGCCGACCAGGCGACGAGGTGGGGACCGTTTTTTCTGTTTTCTTTTTCTTTCATTTTCTTTGGTGTCTTTTCTTTTTGTTGTCGGTGCGAAAAAAGCGTGGTCGGACGTCTTGAACGAGGTCGTGCTTGCTGCTGCTGTACTGCTGTGTTGCTGATTGCAGCGTACCCGTGCTGCCTTGAGACTCGCTCTTTGAAAGGCTCTTTTGCGCCCCCGTTCCTGCTCTGTGCTTGCACCGGGTGGCCTTAACGCACCATGTTGCTGACACTGCAGTCATGTGTTGTGCCGATGGCTCGGATGGTGAAATTTCCGAGGGTGATGATGACAGCGACGGCGTTGCTGTGGTGCCAACTGCCAACTGACTTCCCCCCCTGTGACCCGTCCATTCTGCGTTCCCCCCCCTGACAGCGAGGGCATGTACGAGGTCCTGATGGACGTCATGCGGCGCGCGGACACGGGCATCAACGTGGGGTACGCCGTCGTGTACGAGTGCGTGAGGACGGTGACGAGCATCTACCCCAACGCGCCGCTCCTGGACGCCGCGGCGGCGAGCATCTCGAGGTTCATCTCGGCGGAAAACCACAACCTCAAGTGAGTCGTGTGCTTGTGCCCCCGCCCCCGCCCGTTATCGGAGGAGGAGGAGGAGGAGGAGGCGACTGCTTTGTGGTGGCTGGCGGGGGTCGCGCGATTGATAGCGGCCTGGTTGGTCGGGTGTGTGCGCTGTAGCCTGCGACACCCCTAAATCCCCCGCTCCGCCTCGTTCTCCGTTTCGATGTTTCCACCTCTCCTTTGTTGCGTGTGTCTGTTCGTGTCGCCGAAAACAATCGGAAGGTACGTGGGCGTGACGGGTCTCGCGGCGATCGTGCGGGACCACCCCAAGTACGCCCAGCAGCACCAGATGGCGGTGATCGACTGCCTCGAGGACCCCGACGAGACGCTCAAGCGCAAGACGCTGGACCTGCTCTACACCATGACCAACCCGGTCAACGTGGAGTTCATCGCGGACAAGCTCCTGTCTTTCCTGGAGCAGGGGACGGACTCCTTCTGGCGGCAGGTGATGAGTCTGAGGATGTGTGTTATTTCTTTTTGTTTCGGGCGATTGGTGGAATTGGTTTTGGCCGTTGTCTTGTGCGTGCCTCTCGTGTGGGCTGTCACGACGGATTTTTGTTGTTGTTGTGTACTGCTATGATATGTTGCGGTTTTTGTGTCTTTTCTCGCTTTCATCCACTACATAGGTCGGGTACAGAGCGTCTTGCCAGCATCTGCGAGGTTAATTATTTTGTTGTGATGTCAAAACCAGAGTATAGCGTCCTCTTGAACAACCTCTACCAAGTACCAAGCACTTGCACAACGTCCGCATTCGTTATGTCTTGTACATCTTCATGGCGAATGTTCCGTGCTCACTGGCTACAGTATCACAGCCCTACATGGTTACATCTGTATGCGTACCGCCCCCTCTCGGCGCGTTCGTCTCCTCGCTGGCACAACGTGACATTTTTTGCCCCTAAATTACACCCACCGTCATCGCGTTGGTGCTGGTGCTGGTGCTGCTGCTGCTGGTGGTGCTGGTGCTGCAGGACCTGGTGAATAGGATAACCCAGTGCGCAGAGCGGTTCGCGCCGAGCAACTCGTGGTACGTGGGCGTGATGACGAAGGTCTTCCGGCTGGCGGGAGACATGGTCAAGCCGGAGGTTGCCCACAACCTCATGCAGGTGATTGTGGTGGTTGTGCGGATGTCGCATCCGCTTCGATCGTGTGTTGGACTACGGTACGTGGGTACAAACAAAGACGATGGGTGTTGTTGTCAATACGGATGTCGTAATGCTTCGTTCATGCGTTGGACGGGGGGAATATGACTCCGCTACGTGAGCACGCTAACCAACACGGGGCGTTGTAGAACAAAGCTTGCCGTTAACCCGTGAATCTTGCGAACCTCCCGACGGACGGGGATGAAGGTCGTGCGTTTTTTTTCGAGCTACCTTGCGGAACGGGGAACGCCAAACATGTGGCGTGCGTACCTCGATGTGGCGAGAAGGGAAGGTGCATGTTTTTGGAGTCCACACGGAAAAAACCATGCCGGGGACGTTGTGTGGTCTAATGGAATTCAGGGAGGCTCACACCCAATACTAAGTACATCGGTATGTATACCCGCGCACGTTTCGTCCTATTGGAATGCCATCCTTGGGGTTGTTGCGTTGTTGTTCGTCGGAGTCAGCCGGCTGGGTGTACTGGCGTGTGTCACGTCCTCTTGCCGAGAGGTACAGCAGGGCTGGGACCGTGAATACACAGGGTAGGTAAACAGTAGCGCGCTTCGAGCTTAGAAACACATGGCCGTCCTTGTACCGACCGCTGTTCTTTGGTGCATGTCTCGACAATTTTCGGACGTGAAATCTACTCTGCAGCGGGTTCGTACTGCAAATATCAGACGTGTAGGTAGCCCAACGCTGACAGACGGTCTGGTGTTGAAGGTCGTGTTTTCCTCCTCCCCATGTGGTTTGGTTTGTTTGTTTTGTCAGGGCTGCTGCTCGCATCGCCTGCCAGTCGGGGCAGTTAGGGGCCACAGACGAAAGGCGCCCCTCGATGATGTTGGTGTTTCCTGCTCCCCATTTTGTTTTGGTTTATTTGTCGTAAATGTTTGTTTGTCCGGGCTGCTGCGCGCGTCGTTTTTACCTCCATCGTAGCTTATCGCGGAGGGCAGCGGGGAGGACGAGGATGCGGACGTGGAGCTAAGAAGGAACGCGGTGGACAGCTACCTGGATCTTCTGGAAACCCCGGCTGTGCCTGACCTGGTAATGTGCTACTGTACTGCCATGATGAACTGTTTTTGTACATGAGTTGTTGGCACAAGCGCTCTGCCGAACGTTTGAGTGTTCGTTTCTCTTTGCCTCGATCTCCCCGCGCTTCCCGCCACTGCACCGGCAACGTTGAAAGTGACGTATGCGTAAGACCTGGTTATGTTTCATGACACCCACCACCTTTCATCTGCTGTCGTTGAACGGAACCTTTCCGCTGGACCTTCTATTTTCTGACACCTACATGCTTCTCCCACCGCTGGGGCTGTCGTTGAGAGCACCGTATCCATATGTAGGACCTGGCGCTTCTTGTAGATACCCACATGCTTCTCTCACTGCTGCTGTTGCTGTCGTTGAGAGCACCGTATCCATATGTAGGACCTGGCGCTTCTTGTAGATACCCACATGCTTCTCTCACTGCTGCTGTTGCTGTCGCTGAGAGCACCATATCCATAGGTAGGACCTGGCGCTTCTTGTAGATACCCACATCCCACTGCTGGGGCTGTCGTTGCTGCTGTTCCTTGTGTGTGCTGTTGCCGTCGCCGTTTTCGAAAACCGAGCAGCTGATGCAAGTGATGGCGTGGGTTCTCGGCGAGTACGGCTCTCTCGCATCCACCCCGAGGGGTGCTCGAGAGGTTTCCACCAAGCTTTGCGGCGTCGCCTCCGGCATGTCTTTCCGCGATCCGAGCACCTGCGGCTTCGTGGTGACGGCCCTCATGAAGCTCTCCGCGCAGTCGGGGTGAGTGAATTTTCTTTCGGACTTTGGAAGGTGCTACTTCAAACGTCGTACATCGCAATATGGCTTGGGGAGTGAATTTTGACTCGTAGGTGCTACATTTTATCTAGTACGGCGGGGGGAGTAAATGTTTTTTGGACTTTGCACGTGGCCACACGTTGCATCTAGCACATGTCGGGGGAGTAAATCCCTCCCGGGGTTTTTTGACACGTGCTCGCAGACAATCTATTGGGCGCGTTTGGGAGTGACGAGTGGATTTGTTTCGGACGTGGCACGTCGTGCTACATGGGGTTGCGGAGTGAATTGCTTTGGGGACATGGCACCTGATACACTTCACCTAGCACGGGTCAGGGAGTGAGTCGGTGAGGGATTTTCATGCGGGCATGGAGCTACATGCCGCGTCTAGCTGCGCGGAATGTGGAGTGAATTGCTTTCTGGACGTGGTACGTGTTCCATATCGTGACATCCATCATGGGACGGGTTGGTGGGTGAATTGGTGACGTCTGCACGTGCTGCAGGGTATGTAGCACTGGTTGGGGAGTAAATTTCGTTTCGGCTTGCACGTGCTACTTTACGTAGCATCTAGCACGGTTTTGTGGAGTACATTTATTTGGGACTTGACCTATGCTTCAATTGTTTAGCGTGCGTTCGGGAGTGAACTGCTTTCGGGCTGTGCTACGTACAAGTATCTAGAGCGGATTGGGAGGGAATTCATTTTATTTCTATCGGACGTGGGGGCCGCGTTGCTTGACATTTATTTGGGTTGGGGAGTGAAATATTTTGGATTTTGGGGGTGCCGCATCACGGTAGGGGGGAGTGAATAATGTTCGGGATGTGGCATGTCCTACCGTGTTGAGCATCTAGCACATGTTGGGGAGTGAAGGTTTTCGGACTCGAAACTCCTTTTAGAATCAGGCAACACCTTTGCGCGAGTTGGGCAATGAATTTGTGTTATGCACTCTACATACCACGTAGCACTTGCTGGGTTGAGTTCTGCGGAACTTGGCAAATGTTGCACAGGATCACCCAGCGCGGGTTGGAGAGTGACTTTCTGCGGGACGTGCTGTATACCATCTAGCACGGGTTGAAGCAGCGGTGGGAACGCGTCCTCTCTATCACTAAACCTCTCTCTCTCTCTCTCTCGCTCCTTCGCTCTTTCCTTATTTGTGTCTTTGTCAGCGAGGTGTCCCCGCCCGTGGCGCACCTGCTGACTCTCTACTCGCAGTCCAAGCAGTCGGATCTTCAGCAGCGATGCCTGGAGTTCCTGCAGCTGGCGAGGGAGGGGCCGGCGGCCATGGCGGCCGTGCTTCCCGTCGACGCAAGCTGCGAGGACGTTGAGGTAGGCTGCGTGTTTTTTTTCTTTCTAATATAGCATCGACGGCACTATCCCTCTGACCGACCAATGAAAGCACGTCAATCTCAGTTCGGTTGAAAATACAAATCAGTGTGGTTAAAAACACGAAATGCTTCTGAAGGCCACGATTTGGCACCCTGTGACGGAGCGTCATGGGCGAGTCTACGCTACGCGTGCGTGTGTCTATTATCGACCGCCAACCGGCTGACCAATGAAGACACATAAGTCTGCGTGCGTACGTGTGCGTACTGTAAAGCCAAGTGAAAACGAACATCCATTATTTTGTTTGAGTTTGCTCAATAGTCTAATGTAGTTTGGTTGCAATTTGGTCCGACCCCTCCAACAGGCAGGTGTCATTTAACCCTTTCCTTGCGCCCTCGGGTGCGTGTGCGTATGCATGTGTTTTTTGTGCTTCTTCCTCGGAATTTCTTGTCCATCCATCCAATCATCCAACCACCCATCCATCCATCGTTCCATCCATCCATCCATCCGTCCAATCACCCAGCCATCCAGCATCCATCCATCTATGCATCCATCTATCCATCCATGCATGCATGCATGCATGCATCCATCCATCCTTGATTCCTTGCATCCTTCCATTCGATCATGCATGCGTCCAACCATCCGTCCATCATCCGGCAGGCCGACGAGAACCTGAGCCACCTGGACGGGATAGTCACGGCGGCCCTGTCGGCGGGGGCGGTGGGGTACTCCCCCCCTGCCGAGGCCGGGGAAGACTCGGACGACGAGGAGGCGTCGGCGGCAATGGGGGGAGCCGGGGGAGGGTCTTCCTTCAACCTCACGCCGTACGCCCACCCTTCGCAGGTGCGTGCCTGCGTGTGCCCATCGACAAGACGTAAAGAAAGCGTCGGGCTTTTGTCCCGCCCTCTGTTGTTGTTGTTGTTGCTGCTGCTGTTATGTTTGTTTTGGATGCAACGTAGCGCTTTTTTTTTAAGCAAACGTAGTAACATGTGGTTGTTGTTATATTTGTTGTTGTGGATACAGAGTGGCGCTCTTTTTGAAAGAAAGACAACTGTAGTATGATGAGTTTGGGAGTGTCGTTGAGTGCGCGGTTGGCAGTAGTTCCCTTCGTTTCAGTTGCCGGGCGTCTTGTCCGCGTATCCTCCACAGAAGGAGATGAAGGTATGGCGTGGGTTGAGTGTGAGTGTCGCAAGCATCCAATACCCAGGCGGATATTTCTTCCGTAGCTTTTACAACCATTCCCTTACGTTGGACCGTGGTACACATCTCGCTCGCCGCCTTCTTGTGTGGCGAACTCCGCAACGCTTGTACCCCGTCGTGTGTCACTTACGCTTCTCGCATCGCTCCCCCCCCCCCCCCCGCCTGCGTTTCACCGTTGTCACGAATAGCCTATGGCTGCGAGCGCTGCGGCTCCGCAGGCGCCGCTCCCGCCTCCTCAGTCGTCCAGCGGGGCGGGAGATCCCCTTTCCACGGCCGACATTTTCGCCAGCGGCCCGAGGTACGTGGTCTGCAGCAGGAAGGTGCCGCCGTTGTTGCTCGTTGTGGTCGTCCGGACGGACTGGACGCATGCTTTCAAAGGGTAGGTATGCAGCAGTACCGTCCCATTTACTCGCGAGGCGATCGAAAACACTGCTGCCGCCGACACGTTGTACTGTATTTTCTCTCTATTTGTCATGTTGATTTTCCGAGACCTTCTTTTTACCATTTTTTTTTTGACGGGCCGATTCCTTGGAAACGTCGCCTTTCGCTATGACCCCTCCCCTCTCCTTACTTTTAGGCTGAGACCCGTGTCGAAAGTATGGGGAAGACCCAAGCCGGGAGGGCAGAATCAGCAGCAGCCGCAGCAGCCGCAGCAGTCACAATCAGCGGCGGCAGCCGGTGCTCCCGGCGCGGGGGGTCGCGGCGAGACAGGCGCGGCGGCAGCGGCGGCGGCGGCTGGCTATCCGCCGGCCACCGCTGGTGCGGGGCCTGCGGGCCCTTCCTTGGGAAGAGGGAGTGGGCAGAGCGGGACTGCCCCTTCGCAGGTGCGGCGTGAGTTTGTTTTTTGTACCCAAAGAAGACACGATTGCGGCTCGGGGCTGGCCTCAGGTTTTTGGTTTGTGGGAGGGATCGCTCGTATATATATCTGTTCGGCACACGTTGCATTGTGTGTGGCATTTTTTTTTGGGAACGACTTGAGTCCTTGGCTTGCGTATGGGGGGTGTCTGTAAGGTGGGAGGTAGGCTCGGCATGATCTGCTGCCGGTTGCCGCCTCAGTGTATGTAGAAGGATTGTGAGTCTGCCCTGTCGTATCTTTGGTTGTTTGGTCAGGGCATGCTGAATACACGCGAGATTCCCTCAAGAGGAAGGTGGCCCCTATGTCCAAGAAAATCTTGTGGTGGCTGGGTAGAGACCGGAACGGTTTTTATTTGTTTTTGTTGTAGGGACGACAACAACACACGACCAAGAAAATCTTGTCGTGCGATGACACACACGCCGCTCGAACAGGCGCCTCCGCCGCAGCAAGACCCGGTGGCTGCCGCGCTGCGCGCCGAGAAGCAGAAGATGGCGGCGATGCTCTTCGGCGGGACAGGACCAGCACCAGCAACGCCTCCGGCGGCAGCGGCACCATCGCGCCCGAAACCAATCTCCACCTCGGCGACGGCGGCGACTTCCCGACCCGCCGCCGTAGCCACGCCGGTCTCATCGGCGTCTTCCTCGTCCCAGCAACAGCCAAAGGCGGCTCCAGCAACAACCGCTGCCGCCGCCGCCGCTGCGGACCCGGTCGACCTGCTAGATTTTGCGAGCATGGGGGACTCCCCTCCCCCTCCTCCTGCCGGCACCGCCTCCAACGGCGCCGCACCAGCGCACGACCGCGCATCTTCGGATCAGCTAGGAGTGGACCTCTTGGGGGTAGGCGGCGGCGGTGACGCGAACGGCGGTGCCTCCTCCTCGGCTCCGGGAGGGGGCCCGACGCTGGACGATTTTCTCGGGGGTGGGGGCGGGGGCACCACCACCACCGTCGGCGGGGCGGTGCCGAACGGCCGCCGCAACAGCAGCAGCAGCGCCGAGCAAGCGTGGCCACCGGCGGCGGCGGCGGCGGCGGCACGGCAGCGGGCGGGGACGGCTGGGTCGTCGGCTTCGAGCGCAGCGACGCCGTCTCTGATCGGCAGCGGCGGTGGGGTTGACCTTTCGGCGCTCGTGCTCGGGGACGGCGGGGGCAGCGGGGCGGCGGCGGCGGCGGCGGCGGCGGCGGCGGGGTTCAGCTTCGGCGGGCGCGGCATGAAGCCGCTGGCGATCGCCACCGGGGAGTTCGGGCAGAAGTGGATGGCGTGTTCGGGGGAGCGGCGCGCGGCCGGCTCAAGGTTTTCCCCGGGGCTGGGGTCGCCGAAGGCCGTGGCGGAGAGGCTGGGCGGGAGGCTCGGCGTCCACACGGTAGAGGTTATCCCGCACACGGCGGAGGGCATCTGCGCGGGGCAGCTCGACGGGGGCGGGGGCGTCTGCTTGGTGCACTGTAAGGTGGGTGCGCGGGTGGGGAGCGAGGTTTTGTGTTTAGGACAGGCGTGCCGAAGATGAACTGCCTGGTTCTCGTGGAGGTGAAAGGCCGCGCAGGTTGAAGGAGTTTCGAAGCTCGGTGCCGCGCTGCCGCTGTGATTGATTGCGTCGGCGCAAAAGCGCCGTTCCGACGTGCGGGATTTCTATTGCGCTGGGCCAAATCGGTGGAGAAGGCTTGACGTTTGTTCGGCGCAGCTTGCTTAAGATTTTTGTGTTTACTTGCTGCGTGCCCCCCTGTTTGACGTTGGTAAGCGCAAGTGTGCGGTCGTCCCGCTTTGTCGTATTTCACCTTTGCGTGCCCTCCTGTTGCATACCATGGTACGCTGTATGCGCATACGCATCTTCGCGCCGCCCTGTTCCATACCCACATTGCATACATGTGCAAGTGTGTGTGTCCCGTGCACTGACCGTATGCGCATGTATGCGTGTGCCATTTGCAGGTGTGGCCGTCCCGAGGGACCGTCGACATCACCGTACGCTCCAGCGACGCCAAGCTGGCCGAGGCCGCCGCCGCCTTCGCCAAGACCGCCGTTTCGCAATAGCATGTAGTATGTATCGCCCCGTGAGAGAGATCAACGACGCGTTCCCTCCACAAGAGCAGCGTTTTGCGCCACACCGCGACGGCGGGGACACGGACCCGCGCACAGCGCTCTCTGTTGACATCTCTGGTGTGTTTTTGCGCGCACGCACACACACGCGCACGCACGCCGTGTGCTAGCTAATTGTTGTGTTGCGGCGGCGAAAAGAGAGAGACTGTGGCTTCTTGGTTGACTATTGTGTTTCGTGCCTATGTTGGGGAAGGGGTTGCTCTCGACATCGACCGATCGATCGTGTGGGTATACAGCAGTACTATCGTACGTCCACCATGTTTTGCATTCGTGGTTTTTTGTTGTGTTATTTTTTGGCCGCGTCTCGATTTTGGGGCCGCGTCTCGATTTTGGGTTCTTTGGTGGTGAGTAGTATCGTTCGGTGTTTCATGCTCTGTGGGTGAATTTGGAGTGCGAACACGTTCTCCGGTGTGTGAAAAGTTTTCGCGGCTCGAAGACGCTTGGCGTTTCATTCGGGCTGGTATTTGCAATGCGCGCGCCGTTCCTCTGGCTCAGGCTGGTTGAAAATTCTTTGGCGAAGTGACAATAGCGTGGGTGCTTGCCTCTTGACAATGTTGAGTTCTTCGAAAACAAGCGTATGCGTGCATGGGTGGTTGCTGGGGGAGCCGCCCCGATGCTTTTGCTGGGCAACGAAAGGGTGGGTCCAGGTGAGCCGGTTCTCCTGTTTCCAAGTGAGTGCCGCGTGATCGGGCGACTGAGTGCCGCATGATCGGGCGGCGCTGGTCACGCGTCCGGGAAAACGAAAGACTCGTGCATGTCCATGCTCAACTGGCACGAATTTTCGTGTCCATGCATGTACGTAGGCTGGCTCGAACGTCTCATTTTCTCCGAAAACACCTCCGACCTTCTGAAAGACCCTCCCAGGAACTCTTGCGAGAAAAAAAAAAATGGTGACAAATCGCTGCTGGACGTTTGTTTTGATCGACTCTTCAACCACCGTGGGCGAGCGCTACCGTTCGAATTCTTCAGTCGCTCTACAGTTGGGTGTGGGCATGTGGTTGCCAGGGCAACCCTTGAGGACTGCGGGTGAAGGCGTCGTTGGCCGAGGTGGTGGTGCCCAAAGCTCATTTTCGTGTCCTTCGCCCAAACCCGAAGTAAACTAGTGCTGTAGACTAAATGCCCTCAGCTACTGTCGCCTACAGTACACGTGTGTGCCCGTCCAACTTTGTCTGGCGCCGTTCGACGCACCTGTTTGCTGGATGAGCCGGGGTTAAAGAGAAGGAGGGTCCCACACAAGTGTCTCTGTTTCGGTTTCGATTTCATGCTCCAGCTCTCCTCTCGTGCGGTGCGTACTTGCGTGTTTATATCACGAAATGAAGAGGGTTCAGCACGTCGACAGTGAACTCGAACTGTACTCACGACCAGGGGCAAGGATTTTGCCCCGCCCACCCCCCAATGGGCGGGCGGCCACAGCGTGACGGGTGTTTGAAGACGAAGAAGGTTATGGTGGGTGTTTCGAGCTCCTTTCATGCTCTCGAAGTGGGCGACGGTGTGGGTTATTTTCTATCCACCAGGGACGATGAGAGAAACAAACCGAAATATGATCACGAATGGACGATACGAGTAAATAGTTGGAAGCCACCGCTGCCTCGATAAGATACTGTAGTACGGGCCTCGCTCGTGCGATACAGTACCTAATTGTGCGTCCCGTGCTGTGCGGGACTGAGCCCGGAGTAACCGCGAAATACTGACGATGGCAGCTACGGTACGTGTTAATACTCTCGGTGAAAACAACCCAGAAAGCAACTGAAAAAGCTGACATAGTCTAGGCGACCACAGTTCGGTCGTTTCTCCACTGTACGTACCGGATGACAGCCGGGCACCAGATGAGAACGATTATTCCCATCCTTGGCGAGCAAAAAATAATAATCGTCTTCGTGCTACTTGCAGACGTCTTCTTCACTTCGTACCGCAGATGTCACACACAACCCACCAGCGCTTTGACTCGTGGGCCCCCACAGAAGGTCAACTCGCTTCACGCACGAGTTAGCTCGCTGTGGAATTGGTAGGTAAGTACATAGAGCACAGAGAGAAAAAACAGGTACGGCGTGCCTACCTACGCTATTGCTCTCTCTCCCCATGCCGAGGCACAGGACACGGCCGTTTGGTTTCGCCGCTACGGCGGAGGCTGTTGGAGATTGGTATCGTCGGAAGGCGGTGCCCATCACCGAGCGTTGGTTATCGTGGTTGTTATGCACACTGTAGTTATACGTACTTTTTGTGGGATTGTGCGTGCATGGTGTGTTTCGCGGGTATGCATGTGTGGTGCATTTTTGTGGGTTCTAGAGTCGTCTGGTGCAAGCATGTAATGACCATTTCTAGGTACAAAATCGAGCCTTTCCGGGTTGCCACCAGTAATCTCGGATTTGAGACGCATCTAGATTTCGGAACGAAATCGAGAAGAGTCAGATATTCCAGAAAGGATGTTGGAAAATGACCCCACCTAGTTCAGTCCCCCTTTTCTCTCCCGAAATACGCCGGAGCTATCGAGGAGAAGGGATATATTTGAGAGTCGTAACATGCCGCCTCGCAACACGCGGCGCGCCACGGCGGCGGCTTCGGCGGCTGCTTCTCCTACAACGGCTTCCTCAGCGGCGGCGCCTTCTTCCTCAGCGGCTGCTGCCCCGGCGGCGGCTGCCGCGGCCCCAGCGGCTGCCAGCGCGCCGATGGGACCGCTTTCCCCGCCTCCACCTGGGCTGCCTCCCCGGCCCGACCGCCAGACGGCCGCGTTTGTGGACGCGACCACGGCGGCCTACGCTCTGCCGTGCTACACGGCGCTGGTGCCGGGAGCCGGGGCAACGCTGGACCTTGGGCGGGTGTTCGACCGCAACCGGCTCGGTTGCGATCAGGGCACTGTGGAGGAGTTGGTCCTCCGTTTGGGTGAGGTGGCCACTCGGCTGCCGCCCCTTGCCGGGGCGGAGACCTACACGGCAGT